TAATATAATGTAATAAATAAATATAGGTATATAATAATCAAAATATAATATATGCATCTTATACATTGGTGAGCATGGGATAAGTTAATCGTCCCTTTTCACATGGGTTTAGTAGTCCCTTCCTAAAGAGATGCTTTGGTGGGCCAGATATTAGCAATCTCATCTAAGACTAGAATTACATGAAACAAACATGGTACTAAATTTAGTCTAGGCCAAGCCAAGCCAACCGTGTGTAACAAACGACACTTACTCCTCTCACGTTCCAAATTAATCTGGTGAGTCGGACATAATGTAAGGTAGTCATGAGCATTATTTATATTTATATTTTTTTTTATCAAATTTAAAGCCACATTGTAATAACTTTATGACCTACCATAAATCGACTACCGTAGTAAATCTATATAAACAATACAAATTGATATTTAAAGAATTTTGTGCGAAATTATTTGTTTCAACCTAATTAATAGATTCAAATTATTCAAAGTTAAACGTGCAAGTGCACATTGTGAACTATAGCGCACATATTGAAAAATAGTAAAGGGTGCAAGTAAAGGATCTTGCCCACAAAGATTGGTTGTTAACTATGTCAAATTTGTAGTTTAAGAAACACTAAGAATGACTATATCTGACTAACTCAATTATGAAAGTTTGATGGTGAAACATTCTGAATTGGACAATGAAACTGACAAACAGACAATGTGTAATTGCCATTTCAAGTTGCAAAATCATATTGACTATCTGGCAATTTCCAAAGAACTCTGCCATATCATTTTTCCCATTTTCCATGTAGGTTCATAATTAAGCACCTAACCTAAATATGAAAAACAATGGAATTTATTGCATCTAACCATTTTAATCATGCAAAATCATAATAAAATATCAACACAAATATATATCAATATTAATGTATCAAAACTCCTACATGTAACATTAACATAGACACAAAATAACACTAATAATATATGTCATGCCAAAAGTTGGGGAAATACATGAACAATATGGTTCTAATGAATATTTCGTACATAAAAGCTAAACCATATATATAGTGGAAGTACTACAATCCATGTCATTTTATTGGGGTGAACGGAACCCAAAATCTATTACGATCTCTAGGTGGTGAGGCTTGTGTGTCAAATTGTGATTCCAATACACTATACTCGGGTGTCTCAAAGGTGAAACCATCTGAGGTGTAAGGAGTGGAGCCACTAGACACTTCGCCATATGAGAAGCCCGAGTTAGGGCTTGTATAAGAAGAGGACAACGTCTTAGTCCCATGAACAGCACTCGAGGAGGAATAAAATGTTTTGTTTCCAACAGTTGTATCATCTTGTGGTCCAAAACTAGAAAGAATATCGCTCCTGTCACTTGTATAACCCCTTTTCCGCTTACCTCTCTCACCAACAAAACGCTTTTTGGACATTTTCTTTTGTTGTGACCAGTAACCTTGCACTCTCCGCATTGTGGGGCCTTTTTGCCTTTGCTTCCCGTTGTTTGCGTTCCTTTTGTCTTAGCAACTATGGGGTCTCTTACAACATTATTATGGCATCCTAGATTAAGACTAGTTTGCTCATGTTGCTCCTTCCATCTCTCAACCAAAGTATTTAATCTCCCAAATTCAGCCTTTAGCCTCTTGTAAGCGACTTCTGTCTGCGACCCATAAAAACAAAGCTTGTTAAAATCAGAGCTTAATGACCCAAACCTAGCCATTTGAATAGTTTCGTTGGGAACATCATCCGACTTGACTACAAATTCACTCCCACGTCTTGCATCCTTTGTCCATCTCTTCATTATTACGGACGGATGTATTTGATCCATATGATCACATTTCATGACTCCAAACATATGACAACATGGAATTCCACTGGATTCAAATAATTTGCACGAACACTGCAGATGTTGCTCTTTCTTGTAGTACACTACAGTCCATTTCTCATCGGGTCTTCCAAATTTGGAAAATGTGTAAACACGAGGATCTTCATTGTTTCTTACGGGTTGCACGAGAATTAATTTAGCCTCCTTGTTTATCTCATTTCTTATCAACTTGTAAATATCGTGAGTGAAAATAGAAGCTGCATGTTCCTCTAGTGATCGGAGGTGCGTACGAAGGAGTGGGTGTGAATTGTTGGAATCAAAGTCATCCTTCACATTCTCATTTCTCAACCTCAATAACGATCTTTCAATCCGTGGCATACACTCCACTAACTTCATGCCTCTACCAATTCCATCCTTCAAGTTCTTATGCATACCCTCGACACGTTGTGTTGTGGTATTCCCACCAAAAAAATGCCCTGAGCAGTACGCTTCAGCCCATCGTTTCCGTTTACGGTACATCATCTCGATCCAATCGCCTTTTAGATCATATGTATCTATCATTTGTTGCCAATGTTGTTCGAACGCCACTGGTGTCAAACCACCATGCACACAATAGCTAAAGTCCCTTACAATTTCTGGGTTATTCACATTGGTGTTCACATTCATCATGATGTGCCATGTACATAAACGATGATGTGCATCGGGAAAAACTTCATCAATCGCTACACGCATTGCCTCATCCCCGTCCGTGACAATAGATACAGGCTTCTTGTCCTTCATAGAAATCAAAAAAGTTCTGAGTACCCAACGATATGTATCAGCAGTCTCATCAACAAGAAATGCACAACCAAAAACTGCAGTCGCGTTATGGTTGTTTACACCAACAAACACCACTAAAGGCTTGTCATATACGTTGGTTTTGTACGTGCTATCAAATATCACCACATCCCCAAAGCAACAATAATCGTGTAGAGATTGAGAGTCTCTCCAAAAGAAATTTGCCAATCTATTCTCCTCATCTACACTAAAAATGCAAAAAAATTCCGGATCCGCTATTGCCTTGGCATTCATGTAGCTTATTGCTGCTTCTGCATCACCATCCAATACCACTTGTCGACGCTCGAAATCCATCCTGTTATATAGATCCTTACTGGTGAACCCCACTTTCATGTATCCACCTGCTTGGTTAACCATATAGTCGTATGTCTGATTGGTTTTAATAGAGGCTTTTCTCATAGACATAGATTGTGCTATGTTAGATTCCGTAACACACCGGTGCGAACGAAGAAAAGGCACCTCACGAGAGTTAGCAAGTCGGTGGCTGTGCTCCGTTACAAATTTAGTCACAATATAAGCATCCCGTTTAGGACAATACTTCACAGCAAATGTAGCATGACAATTCTCTCTAGTCTCTTTCCTTGGTGTACGAACCATATTATCTCTATTCGTCCATTTCTTTGATCTACTCCCTTCTTTTGAGCACACCCATTGTCTTCCCATCACAACCCACCCTCGCTACGTCTCAAACGACTTCTTCTTATGCTAAAACCAATTGCAAGAGCATAGTTGCAGTAAAATCTTTTTGCTTCCTCAAATTTTGCAAACTCTCTCTCTGCTAAATCAGCAATGGTCATATCTTGGAAGTTTAACCCATCATACTCAAACTGTCCGCTTTTCTTAGTAATTTCATCTGTTCTACTGTCCAAAATCTGTAAAGATGGGGCATTTTCAGTTTCTTCAAGTGACTCAGCCTCTGCAAAATAACCGTCACTGTTAGGTACAGAGTTTTGGCCCTGAATTCCATTCGTTTTACTTGCTTCTGCATCCATTTCCTGAAAATAGGCAACATGTCTTCCATGGAATAATTAATATGAACATAAATGGATACACATCAATTGCATTTAGTAGAAATATAAACATATACAATTAAATTATGAAGGATTAGTCCTTACTGAGAGATTTTACATTTCATACTTGTGCACATATAATGGCAATTGTGCGACAAGAATGCAAAGAGACTATTCTGTTTGTCAGTTGCAAGACTATAATGAAATTAGACGTAACTGTTTGTAAATTGCAAGACTATAATGCAATTAGACGTAACTGTTTGTCAATTGCATTCACAAATCACATATGTTCTCAAAATGTAAGAGGCTACCAATAACATGGAAATATGGATACAATCATTGCAAAATAGGACTAACCAATTGGTAATTGGATTCAAAATGACATATTGAAGTACCTCTTACATTTCCATTACCAAAATGCAAGGCTACAAATATCATGCCATTTGCATTACAATTAATAAATTCTATCTAATGTTTTTCGAATGAGTCACAAACTTTTCAACATCAACAATATGCCCAACATTAAAGAAGAGAAAGATATTGACATTGATCATATTGTGTTTCTTGTCTGTGAAATAACTCAAATTACAATGGTTTTCTTTTTAGCAAATCAAAAACCCATTTACTTCTGCTTTTGCATTAATTTTTGCTTAGTTTTTTTGGTTTTCTTTTCATAACATAATTACTTGATTTCATAGAGGGAAAATTACCCATAGAAATAGCTGGTTTTCTTTGAGCAGATCAATATAGCAAAATGTTATATTGCTGGTCTTTGGGAACTCAAGTGTGGACAAGGATAATAAAGCTATTAATTTTACCTTTGCAAGGGCCACTTAAATACGTTTCAGCATCAGCAACTCGTTTCCACTGGTTTTTTGTGAACCACGCAAAATGCCCATCCACCGAGATTTAAGATCTTCTCAATTCCTCTCCAGAATCAAGCGATTCACATGTAGGGGAAGAGAGGGAGAGATGAAAGAGAGAGTGCCATTCTTGGAGAAGCCTCAGCAGCAGTTCACGATCTTCCCTTCTCCCTTTCTATTTCTGTTTTTCTTTTCTTGTTTTCTTTTTCTTTTTATGTTTAATTTTTATTTTATTCACTTTTACCTACACCAACCCTTTTAATAGGTTACCAGCATTCAATGGTGTGGATTTAACCCTCATCTCCACTTACTCATCCAATGGCTGATATTTTGGGCGCATGGATACACCACGCCTATTGTAGAATTTTTCGGTCAGTGGGTGTGGGATTGGGACAGGCGTTGACTGAATATTATATATAAGCGAGGGAGGTGGGTGTCAGAATGGTAAAGGTGTTTGCCGGCACTATATATATAATACAAGGAAGGTTGGGTTGGGTTGGGAAAGGAGGAGCGAAACTGATACCTGGGACTTGGCTGGCTATCATTAAAATGGCTCCCAAGGCCAATTCTGTTTACATGAGTCTCTTCATCATATTGTTGTTGTTCTCAGAGCATTTCCAACAGTTGGCTCTTGCCATGGCGGGGGGGGGGAATAGTGGCTGCCCTTGCAAAAAGTAATGTTGGTTTCCAGTAGTTGCCCTAGTTTAGGGCAAACACTATTCATTTTTTGTTTGTTTTTTGTTTTCACATAGTTGTTTACCTAAACAATTAATTTGGACAATATTTTTTAAAAGATTTTTGGTGTGGGAAGTGAAAAATATGACTAAGTATTTATTTTTTTAAAAATCTGAATTTTTTTGTTTTTTGTTTTATTTATTTATTGTTGCTGACGTCATCGCTGATGTCAGCCCCTCGAGTTTTGGATCTGGGGCTGGACCTGCCCTCGGGCCAGCCTAACTTCGTGGCCCCCACAAGCAACTCGGGCTAACCCTTAACTGCTGGAGCCCTTTTTTCTCCCAAAACCCCCCAACCCGAGTCCAAAACTAGCTGCTGGACTTGCTCTCATCCAAAGTTGTGTTTGCCAGAGTTTCTCATTCTTCAAAAACCAGTTAGTCTCTTTCCCAAATATATACGTTTGTGTCTAATGATCTTATTTTACGAACCTTGGGGTTTAGATTATATACATGTGTCTGATGTTCTTAGGTGGGGGTTGTGAGAGATCTGGAGTGCAGAATGCGGAGCACATTCGTTCTAACCAACTTGACTAAGTCTATGTCTGCTAAAATACCATGTTTACCCTAAGAAAAAATATTCGTATTTCTTTCTTTGTAATTAAAAAAAAATTAACGACAATGTTGTAATCATCATTTCCCAACGGTTCCTAAAATGGGAATGAACATCCTCCATTCTCATCCTTCATTCTCATCTCATGGGATTAGACATGGGAAGTTCATTCTCAAGAAATTCAATCCGTGAACCAAATGAGCACTTAGTCTCTTTCCCAAATATATATGTATGTGTAATGTGTCCAATGTTCTTATCGAAAACTGTATTCACTTATTTCTTTAAAACACAATTAAATGTATAAATTGATTTCCAATTCAACTAACTTTTTGTCAAGATGATATTTAAATAGAGGCTGAAAAAAGTTTAGATAATTGAACTTTAATCCAGGTTGGGCGTCACAAGGGAAGGGATCCTCATTTTCTAAAAACAATATAGAAATCTCTCTCTAGAAAGGCCATGTATATCATTTGTATGTATACATCATTCAATTGTTTAGCGTAATTAGTATTAATAAAGTTTTGTATTATCATTGCAGAAGGAAGATTGGTAAAGAATTTCGGAAGATGAAGAATATTAATCTGGCCAAAAAAATAGGTGCAGGTTCAAAGCCACCTAGTGATGGTATTGGGCATTGACCTGTAAGTTTCATGACGGGCCAGTCTTTCTCGAAATTGGAGACATTTTCGGGCCTAGCGACTGAATCAATGAATAATTAGAGTGGTCAGCTGACCCTTCCAAAATTTCGCATATATTGTATATTATTTTATTTTATTTTTATATATGTTTGTAAGGATTTGTTTAGGAATATGAGCATAGTTCTTTTCCTATGTTTTAGTGCTTTTCCGTAACTCAATTCATCAATCGAAGTCATTCAAGGTAAGATTGCTTTACCTATGTTTATGAATTCTAATTGGTAGAGAAGAACATATTCAAATGCAGCAGCCGTCAGGCAAATTATAAATTCAGCCTAAGCTTTAGTCCAAGAAATGAAAATTTGTGATGTGAATTTTCCATAAGAGGTGGTAATAAATAGGATAAATCTGGTCAAACCAGAACTCAGTAGTACTTGTATGAAAGAATAATAGAATATTTTAAACAAGTCGCCAAAATACTCAAATAAGCCTAACTAAAATATGTTCTATGTTCGAACCAGAGGATCTTGTATTCGTTCAAAACTAGGTCACATGCAATTCAGATTGTAATGAGTTGTTCAAGTGTAATATCGTCTAGTCCTCTATAGGAAGAAGCAGTTTGGAATGATAACATCTGAGAAACCATGAGCATTGTTGGCCTCGATTGTGGATGGGAATGTCTGCATGCAAACTGATAGCCTTGCAATGGTTATGAGTTCATCTTGAAGTTGAGGGGTAGGAGGAGGAAGGCGTTGGTCCAACGCATCCTTGAGCAATATGTTTGTACAGGTGGTGGATGGAAACGAAAAGGAGGAGACGAAATCGCCTAGCTTCTTTCCGATACTCACTTCCAGTGCCAGCACCCCAAAGCTATAAACATCACATTTCTTAGTTACCTTCATTGTGTAAGCCAGCTCTGCATACAAATTCAAGAAGAGCAAACCATCGATATAGATATGTCAAGGCTTGATATTATCTAAATTTAGAAAGCACAAAAGTTCTATATTTAGGTATTTTACTTGGTGCTACATATCCATATGTGCCAGCAAGAGCAGTCCAATTCGACGAGTCTGGATTCAAAATCTTAGCAATTCCGAAGTCCGAAACACAAGGCTCGTAGTCATAATGCAGCAAAATGTTGCTGCTTGTTATGTCTCGGTGCACAATAGGTGGTGAGCAATCATGATGCATATAACACAACGCATAGTCCAACTTTTTAGCTTCATGCTCGTTGCTCAAGATTGCAGCCAAGTTACCTTTTTCCAGATACTCATAGACCAAAAACGAGTGATGGGAACTTGAACAAAATCCAAGAAATTTTACAATGTTTCGGTGTCGTATCTGAGTTAAAGCCCTTATTTCATTAAGGAACTCCTTCCGAGATGCCTCCTCACCATCAAGTGTTTGATGGAATTTCTTCACTGCAACAACGTTGCCTGATGGGATCTTTGCCTTGTAGACACTTCCCTGTCCTCCCATCCCGATGCAATGGACGGCATCACAACCATTGGTTGCTTTCATGATTTCTCCATACATTTTTCTTCCGTCAAAATTAGTTATTGAGAAAAAGCTTTCGTGCATATTGCCCTGTTCTATTTCCTGTGATTTCTTTTTTCTACTTCTTATTCTTCTATCAATCAAAGCAAATGCTAGGAAAGCAAGTAAAAGTGTTCCCAAGATAGGGAAAATGATTAAGAACGCCTTCTTTGAGGTTCGCTTATGTTCCACAGAATGATTGCAGGGTTTTAGTCCTCCAACATTGCCACATAATCCGTTATTCCCTTCCATTCGAGCATTTTGAAATGCTTTGTTGTTGGGGATTGGACCCTGCATCTGATTGTAGGATATGTCGATGTCATTTAGCCCATGCATTCCATCAAAAGTTGTTGGAATGAGTGATGTAGAATGCATATTATTAGTTTTCCTAATTCTACTTGGATTAGCTTTCCTATTATTAGTTTTCCTAGTTCTTAAAGATTCCTTCTTGTAAAGTATCTCTTATTAGTTAATTTGCTTTCCTATTTCTGAAAGTTTACTTTTCCTTCTCCTAGGCTAAAAAGGGTTTTGTCTCTATAAATAGAGTTGTTTGTAATCTTTTAAGGCAGACTTGATTAATGATAAATTTCCTGACTTTAAGCTCTCTGATTCTTTCCCTTTCCCTTCGTCTCTTCGACCTCTAATTCTTCTCCTCGATCCCTTATTTCTTCTCTGTTCTATTGCTCAAGTTTTTACTCTAAATCTACTTGGGCTGTTCTACATCAATTGGTAATCAGAGCCTACCCTCCCTTTCGCTTGCCTTTGTTCTTTGCCATGGCACCCCAAACCGTGGCCAACCTTGCAGAACAATGTCATGCGTTCCAAGACAAGGTTTCTGAAGACATCGCTGGCAAAGAAACCCAGCTCTCCAAGCTCAGCACTGACCTCCAAGAACATCGTGCGATGACGGACCTCGCCATCGCCAAACTCCAAGACTCTGTTCAGTTGCTTATCAATACCCAACACACAACGGGCCCTCCTCCAGGGACTTCTCAAGCTCTTACCTTGCCACCCGTTCCACATGATCAGTACACTCATCCCCCTCGTCATTTTGACAACGATGTCATCCGCCACATCAAGCCTACTGCTCCTACTTTTGATGGCCGTGGGGATCCTACGATGTTTCTTGATTGGGTTCAGGCCATGGAAGACTATTTCGCCTGGTACGACTTGATGGATGCTCATAAACTTCGCATTGGTAAGATGACGCTACAGGGAGCCGCTAGACAATATTGGAACTTCGTGGAGGAGCAACTATACCAAGTTGGACAGCCACCTGTGACTCTATGGGACGAGATGAAATTAAAGCTTCGCGAACAATATCTTCCCACCTTCTATCGCCATCAGTTGTATGACCAATTATGGACCCTTTCACAAGGAAGTTTGACTGTTACGGAATTCCACACTCGTTTTATCGAACACAAGATACGTGAGGGGATTCGTGAAGACCTCGACATCACTATGTCTCGCTTTATCCATGGTCTTCGTGACGATATCAAGTGTGAAGTCCGTCGGCTCCGTCCGCACACTTTGGAAGATGCATATTGCCATGCATTGGAAGCTGAAACTTTTTTGCGTCCACAACGTAGATATATAGGGCATTCTGGGCACTCTTCCACTCCTAATCCAAACCGTAGCACTCCTAGCTCTAAATATGGCGTTGTCGGTCCACCTGCTCTTTCGATACCCGCAACAGAAAAAGGACCAGCCCCATCCACGACTGCTCACCTCGAATGCTATCGTTGCCATGCTAAGGGCCACATCGCCTCCCGTTGTCCCCATCGAACTTTAACCCTTGGCTCCCTCAATGAGGACTCTTGTGTGGACGAGTATGTGGAGCCCCTTGAACCTGTTTATGATCAAGAACTTGATAATTGCTGTGAGGAGGAGGCGTTCCACCAACTCAGTGTTATGCGTTGTATTTATTCCGCACCTACATCTCCACCTCCTGATTCATGGAAGCGCACAAGTATCTTTCAAACCTATGTTCCTTGCGATACCAATAGATGCCAACTAGTTATTGATGGAGGAAGTACGCTGAATGTTATCTCTAAAACTGCTGTCGATCGCCTTCACCTTCAGGCCGAGCCACACCCCCATCTTTTTCATGTTGGCTGGGTAGATAAAACCAGGTTACCTGTTACTGAAAGATGTCTTGTTCCTCTTCAATTAGGTCCCTGTCATGAGCAACTTTATTGTGATATCCTACCCATGAGTGTCGCACATGTGCTACTAGGCCGGCCTTGGCTTTATGACCGCCATGTGAAAAGTTGAGGCAGAGAGAACACCTATACTTTTCAACATGAGGGAAAGAACATAACACTAAAGCCTTCCAATCCAACCATCAAACCAACTAAGGATGGTCAACCAACACTGTCAATTAAAGAGAAGGCTTCAGAGCATCGATTGAGTATTTTATCACCTGTAGACTTTGCACATGAACTGCAAGACACTGGTGTGGTCTTTGCTCTCTTGCTTAAACC